CCCTAGACCCTAAGACCCTAAAGCCCTAAACCCTAAACCCCTAAACCCGAAAGTTTGCAGCCGCAGGCTCCGACTGTGAGGCTGAGATCGTCGACTTCTTGCCCGCCTGGGCCTGCTGCGGAGTCTCATAAAGTCAAGTGCTATACGGTTTAGGGTTTAGGGTTTAGGGTTTAGGGGTTTGGGTTTAGTGGTCTAGGGCTCCTAAGGCTGTCTATAAGGGGTTCCTAAAAAGGGTTTCCATAAAGGCGCTCTTCAGGGTTTCTATAAGGGGGCTCCTAAGGGTTTCTATAAGGGGTTCCTAAGGCTTTATATAAGGGGGCTCCTAAGGCTTTCTATAAGGGGCTCCGAAGGAGTTCTATATAAGGGGGCTCCTAGGGGTTTCTATAAGGGGTTCCTAAGGGTTTCCATAAAGGGGCTCTTGAGGGTTTCTGTCAGGGGCTCCTAGGCGTATCTATAAGGAAGTCTTTGCTAAAGGTTTCCACAAGTGTTTTCGGGTTCAGAGTGCTTTGAGCCGGTGGGGTTCGACTGATGTAGTTGTAGAAACCTGAATAATCTGACTGGGGTCTTGAGGGCCTTTATGCTGCAACTATACTAGCCATTCAAGAACTCTGAGGAATACTATGACTCATTACGTTTCATGATTTAAGGCCATGGGCATGGAGGTTTCAGCGTCTCTGCTTGGCACAATGTGCTGGAAGAGCTTATGGGGTTCCATTTTGGTCTATAAGGTTCCCGTATGGCTTACAAGACAAGGGGGGTCTAATGCAGGGACCTTAATAAGAAGAATAGGGTTTGGGGGGTATGTTGTGCTATAATTCCTAACAAGGAGCCCCACAATATTATTGGTAATTATTAAGGTTTTGGGGTATATCATACTACAATTCTACTAAGGAGCCCCCACAATATTATCGGTAATTCTTTACGCCTCGGTGGTATCAGGGTGTCATGCTGCATCGTCCAGGTCTGGGCTGTAGCGAACCCTGGTTGAGACCCGACCCTTCTGAAGGTGGAAACCCTAAACCCTAAACCCTACACCCCTAAACCCTCGGTTTAGGGTTTAGGGTTTAGGGTTACCCTAAACCCTAAACCCTAAACCTTAAAACTCTAAACCCTAAACCGAAGGTGGAATCAGGGTAGGCAGGGCGTCGGAGGTCGATAAACTTACGTGAGGTTCACAAAGTTCGGAAACATGCTTGGAGGCTTATAAAAGGAGGATCCCACTACTGCGGGGTCCCTTAACCCTAAGCCCTAAACCTAAGCCGTCAACCCTCAGCCCTAAAGAGTAAGCGCAGGACCCAAGCCCTAAACCCTAAACTCTTCGATTCTGCAACCTCCTAAATCGCAGAGCCGACAATTTCTCACCTCACCGGCCGACAACCGGGAAGCCTTTCTACAAGTTTAGGGCTCTGGGGTTGTGCGGTTTGGGTTCCAGGGTTGAGGGTTTAGGGTTTAGCACGGTTTAACACTTAAGGGTCATTGTTCTAGGGTTTATTGTCGAGGGTTTTCGGGTTGAAACGGGTCGAATGATTTTCATTAAACGTCTTGGGGTACCTCACGCAATATTTCCTCAGGGACTCTGCGTAGCATGACTCTACTGCAAGGGAGCACCACCCTGATTTAAAGTTGATCCCTGCTGCGACTCACGGGAGCGCCTTTTCTGTGGAAGCCTTACTTCAGGAAGTCCATATACAAAACCGCAGTAAAAAAATGCTGCTGCCCCTAACCCTAAAGCCCAAACCCTGCAACTGTGCGTGCCTTCATGGCCTGTGTCTCCTCCTGATGTCATCGTCGACATGTCATGGGGTTCAAGGAGCTTAGGGTTTAGGGATAGGGATTCCTCATGTGTCAGGGTCCTCGTCACAAGAACCTTACGAACCAGGGTCTGTGTTTGGGTCCGAATTCTTGAAGCTTCCATGTAAAAATTGCTCATGGAACAGTCCTGGCACAGAGCGGAAGAATGTAGGTGGCTAGTCCACGCAGAAGTGCCATTAGTAGACCGTACGCACCGTGCAGTGTCGCATCGGCAGCTACTTCGTACTCAGAACAGTCTTCTGCCCATGTCAGTGCAGCCTTAGACCCTAAACCCTAAACCCTAAACCCTAAACCCTAAACCCCTAAACCCCTAAACCTTAAAGCCCCAAACCCTAAGC